ATTACATATGCATCTCCATATGAATACCATGACCACAGCTCCTGAAGGACTAATTGCATTCACTCACTTTCTCAGCCCAGCTTGAAACTGGTAGATTGCTGGGATCATAACTATAGGGGAGAGAAGGCTCATCTTTATCTGTCCCTCTTGAAAAGGAGAGAAGGGCTAGCAGAAAGAATGCAGTAAAGTGTCCTGACTGTGTGCACTTGGAAAAGATTTAGGAAGAAGCATTTCATGAAGACCATGTACCACTTAACAAGGTGCCTTTGATACAAAGGTGGAAGCCAATGAAACAATTGTTCTTTGTGCAGTATTTCCATGGAAGGTTTGAAACTGTTTCAAACCCCCACTTTTAAAATAAACACCAATGTTCTTTTGGAGACGCAAGGTGTTAATGAAACCATTAAAAGCAGAGAAAGTAGGTGTAAAGAACTGAAGGCTCTACTACTGATCTTTTAATTACAGGGAATCAGAAATTTCTTTAGCTCTCAGAGAAAGCTGCTGGACAAAATGCTCTCAAAATACAAGCTATGCTGTTTCAAAACTGTTTTTTAATATACATATATATACAACACATATATATACACATAAGCACGTGTGCCATATGTATATATATCCCAAGTACTTAGGCTCCTATGATTCCCTTGACATAAGAAACTTACACAGAATACCAACACCAAAGCAAATGCCTTGATTTTGCCCCTATTCATCCCCAGCTTAGTTGTTCTTAACATGCGTAACTGCTTTCTTCCTATTCCAACCATTTCTTCATGGCTTCCCTAAACCCTGTAGGCAGGCAGAGCTGTATCTCTATGGAAAACAAATAATTAAAGCCTAACCAAACCAAAGAAAGAAACAAACAAAAAAAACCCAGCCTCACTACCTCGGCATATACAGCCAATATAACATGGAAATCTGAAAACACATAAAAATGGATGGCAGGATACTCAGAAATCCACCCAGCCAGCAAGTGTGCTCCCGAAGTGCCACGGTCAGAGCTTCTCAAAACTAAGTCCGTGCCTTTGGCTGGTCCAGGTAGGCACTTAAGTACACATCCAGTCATCCACACAACTGCTACAGAACCTAAGTGTGTATCTAACTTCAGAAAAGTTAGACGTTTTTCTGAAATAGTGCCTAAATACTCAGCTACAAAATTCACCAAAGTTTAGACATCCAGTTGTGAAATTCTAATCTACACATGGAATTTTCTGTTTGCTGCTTCCAAGTATCTATGCTAAAAACAAACAAACAAACAAACAAAAAAAAACCTCTAGCAATATCGAAAAAATTGTGGTAACCAGCTTAATTATGGGAAATCACCAGCTGAAGTTTTTATAGTCATTCCCTTACAAATTTTATACACCATTTTCTTGTATAAGATACAGACAAACCCAGTAATACTCCTAGCAAAAAAATATTTGCTTTTGTGACACTACAAGATTTGGCCTCTACATATGACCAGAAACTAGACTTGAAATGCTGGTACTTTTAACCATCCTGAAACAAGTAACAATTTATGAAGCTACATAACCCAACACTGAAACAACTTACAGGGAAATACCTAAATAGAAACCCCAAAAGCACATTGCTGCAAGCAGAAAAATGTATCATTAATTACAACATGTAGTTCAGCTTGAACTATGACAAGATTAAAAACAGTAGGAAGCACTAAACATGCAAGCAGACCACTTCAAAATTTGGCCCAGGTACATGATACTCGGTCTGAATTCTAATTACAAGGACACTAGTAATCAGGATTAAATTAATATGCTCTATTCCAAAACTGAGTATTGTATTCAGAATAATATTCTCTGAGGAAAATAGTTTGCTGTCCTGTATAAGAACACATATGCAAACAGTGCTGAAGATTAATGCACCAATTACAAGTGGTGTATATTTAATTCTAAGCCTACATAAATAAACAAATAAAACACATTTTTGTGCTTAAGGATTAATTTCCAATTTAAAAATATTAAAAGAAGTTATTTTATTTATACTTCAGAATCCAAATGCCTGAGCATATTCTCATTTGGAACTGGACTACAGCATTTATGGTACTTCATGTATGCTGATAATTAAAAAAGAAGAGTAAAGAACAGGATTACTTTAAACAGTCCTAATAAGAGACTTCGACTCTATAAGAATACACAACTTTGTTACACATACATGCTAACAATAGTGATCATACAACATTTTCTAATTGTTCTAGCAGAACTTTGGCAACTAACCAAGCAATGTAATATGAATTTTGCTAATAGACTCCTCAGGTATTTTATTTATCAAATATTGTTCACAGCAGGAGCACTTATCAATTGGGCCACTCAACAATTCACTAATTTTTTTTCAGTGAGAATGAAAATTTTACATATTTCAGTAAGCTGCTGGACTTTCATACTAAAAAATGAAACACCATCAAATTGGAAGGAAGAACAATTACTATTAAATTCTTCAAAGTTTAGATGAAGTGTCACTTTAGAGTGCCTTTAATCACTAGCAAAATGATCACTGTTTCATTTTTTAAAGGGAATTAATTAAGTCTAGAGCAGTTTATTAATTCTGAATAAATACAATATACAAGCTAAATCACAATGGTGGTATCTGTGTTTAAAAAACAACAGTATATTTTGTCTTCTAATTTTAAATAGTTATCATCACGTAAGCATCCCTACTTAATTCTGCATGTGTACATCTCTTGAGTCTGCCTCTGGATGTAGATAAATCACTGCAAAGTTATTCCTGTGACATTGTTAACTGCTCTAAAAATTTTCATAACCAAAGACAATTCTGTCTTCAGCTTAGATTCTGACTAAACAAATTCAAAAGAGAAGGGCTTTCTTTTCTTTGGGTCTCTTTCACCTACCATTCAGGTATTAGCCTGTTTTTCTGTAATGATCATGTTATTTGGAAAGCACATAAAAACTGGTACACTGCATAAAACAACTGCACCCTGCTCTTTCTCATATTTTTAACTCACGAATAAACATGACATGTCCAAATAGATGTATCCATTGTGAAAGAGTAGTGAGTATTTTAAGAGAAGAAACGTTTGTTTTTAAAACAGAAGGTTTAGAAACATCTTAAAATTAACTCTTCCTCTAGTGTTTGGAAGAATAACAAAACTAAGTTTTCTTTGCAGTCTGCTGATGTTTAATGTTGGATTAATAACAGATTCCATTACCAGTAATAAAATATGATAAACTTTAGAAGCCTTACAAATCCAACTCAATGAGTAATACCTACTGACTAGATAAAGCACTGCTTGTACCTTAAACTATCTTTACCTATGTACAGTTATTGTACAAGCTCATCACACACAAGACAACAGAAGTGAAAAATCTTGAATGTAAGACTATTTTTGAAGTATTTTAGCTGTTATACTAGTAATGTGTGCATTCAGTCAAACCTACTTCTTTCAACAATCCTCCTTTTACCCAGTGGGGTTTGGAAATACTACTTTATTTTTTTACCAGCAGTTAGATTTCATTTTGCCTAAAAACAACAGAAAAAACCCTCTGGTTCTGAAACACAAGCAATTTTTTGGGACATATGTTCTTTGATGTGTGGTGTGAGGTGTAACTTTTCATCTTATTTACTCTGAGCAATTTTTTTCAAGTAACACACATAAAAAAGAGGAAAATGTAGAGACAGGCATTTAAAATCATACATACTCATCATTCATGATTGTTTTTAACGGAGGTCATACTCATCATTCATGATTGTTTCTGTGGATAAATCCTCTCTGTCTCAAGCTTTTTGTGCCGACTGTTTATCACTTAGGTGTTGTGACCAAGAACGCAGTGCTGGACAGACCAGCTAACTCTGGGTCCTTGAAAATTCTGCCTGTTAACTTCTGTATCACCTATTTTGAACCTGCTCTGGAATACCGAGTAGGAGAGTTTTCTGCAGGCAACACAGATCTATTAAAAAACATGACCTGTGACAAAAATCAATGTGCTAATCTCAAGCCAAACAGCAGTATCAGAAGCATAAAAAAGAGATAACCTAAGATAAAACGTCCCCAAATTTACTTAGACTAGCTTGACAGGTTTACCAAAAAAAAAAAAAAAACACCACACCAAAAAAAAAAACCCCACCAAACAAAAAAAAAGTAAGTCTGCTCACAGGCACTTTAACAAGGCAAAAGAATTTAATACCCAGCTGACTTTGTACCTAAACACATGGATACCATTTGGAGCAGGGCTGCAATTGAAATTTGCTGATGCTAAACATGAGGGAAAACTCCAGAAAAAAAAATATAAATGTATAAAGGAAACTTCTCTTTCCAGTGCTGAACGGCACACGCAAAGCCTGGTGCCAAGAACCCTCGGCGAGAGGGGAGCGGGGCGACTGTGCCAGCATCGCTCGGCCCCGACGGCGGGGACAGAGAAGATGCTCGGGACACAGACACCTGGCCCGGCAGGGCAAACCCACCTCGCTTCTTCACCTCAGCCCGCTCGGGAGAGCCCCCCGCCGGGCGGGCAGGGCAGGGCAGGGCCGGGCAAAGCCACTCCTGACAAACCTCCAGCCCAGGGTGCCGCGGAGCCGGGGCCGTGGAGGCAGAGCCCCGCCGCGCTCCCCGGGGCCGCATTCCCGCTACCGTAACCCGCCGGGACAGCTTCGAGGGGCCGCTACCTGCGCCCTCTCATCCCATCCAAGCCCCCGAAACGGGCTCGGCAACAGGCACGAAGCAGCCCCGCGGAGAGGAGCACCCACACCCCGTTGGGGGCGCATCCGCTCGACTCCCGCCGGCCTGCGGCGACCGACCCCGGGGAAGTCTGGTGCGGCCTCGGAGGGAGGAAAGAGGGGCAATAAGAGAAAACCACCCCCGCCACCCTCCCCATCGCCGCTACCCTGCAGCCCTGAACCTCCGTTAAAATACAGTTTTCCACGCCTTTCTCCAGCCGGGGTTAGTTCCTGCGGTTTCTGGGTACGAGTCTCCGGCGCCCGCCCGCCGACAGAACCCCCGCGCCCCGGTGCGCGCCCGCGGCCGCCCCGCGTACCTGGGATTGGAGCTGTTCCAGTAGACAGCGTAGCGGTCGGCCACCGCCTTGGCGCCGGGCTCCTGCCCGCGCACGCACACCCACAGCGCCGCGGCCGCCAGCAGCAGCATCTCCACGTGCGGCATCTCCGCCCGGCCGGCGGCGCAGCGAGGCGGGATGCGGCGAAAAAAATTTAAAAAGGGGGAAAAAAAGGAGGGGAAAAAAAAAAAAAGAGGGGGACGGGGGGCAGGCGGGACCGAGTGGGGGTAAATAAATAAAAAGCAAGACGCGCAAGCGGTGGGTTCCGCGGTGAGCCGCGCCGCAGCAGCGAGCTGAGGGCGCCTGGCGCCGCAGCCGCGCAACCGGCGGGCGAGGGCGATCCGCGGCCCTTCAGGGAGCCTTACCCCGGCACGGGGTGTCGGGGGCCGAGGCGGGTGTCGGCGGCAGGCGGCGGGCGGTGCTCATTCACCGGGAGTCCCGCACGGAGCCCACGGCACGACATACACCGGCCCGCCGGCGCGGCGGGCGGGCGAGGGGCGGCCGCTCCTCCGCCCCCTGCGAACGGCCCCGACGCGCGGCTCGGGCTTCGCGGGGATGGAGGCAGCAAGCGAGCTGAAGAACGGCGGAGAAGAGCGGGCAGGAGGAGGAGGGGAAGGAGATCTTTCCCCCTGGAAGCCCACGGGGGGTCCTGGCAATGTATTAAAGGCGGCTGGCTGGGAGCGGGACGAGAAGTACCCACAGATCTCAAAGTACAAAGTTTGTTTTCCTTCCTGGCCCTCCGCTCCCCGCAAATGAGAAACAAACAAAAACAGGGGGGAAAAAACGGGAATGGAGGAGAAAAAAGGGGGAAGGGGGGGGGGGGGAAACAAAACCCCCGAGGAGTTTGCTCGCTGTGCTGATGGAGTTGAGGAGCCTGTTCTGCAGCACGGTGTCTTGAAGGAGACTTTGTGGAGCGGTTTTCTTGTCCTTCCTGTTCCTGGGCGGTGGATGCACCAAGGACTAAGCAACAGCAAAGGCGAAAAAGGAAAAAAAAAAAAAAAGGGGGGGGGGGTGTCGGACAAAAAAGAACGGCCAATCCAAGAAATATTGCGGCGTGGAAACCAAGGGGATGGAAGTAAAAAAAATTGTTTTATGAGAGGACGTGGAGGAAAGCAAAACCTCGGAGAAGTGGAAAATCAAGCCTGCAAACTCCTCTGATGATGCTGGTCTTGGCTGGCCTCTCCTGCTCGGGGAACGAATGGAGCAATACGGCGAGGTGCGGAAATCTCTTGTTTCAACCTCTCGGAGCCTCTCTGGGATAAAGCAGGGTCCAGTCCCGTGAACATCAACTTCTGCGGAAGGACAAAACAGTTTGAAAGAGCAGGGAGAGGGTGAGAGAAAAAGAATCCACTCCTCAGATGACTACATAAGGAGATCTTAAAAAAAAAAAAAAAAACCAAACAAAAAAAACCCACCCCAGATCTTCTCGGTCTTGCCCAACAGCTGCTCCCCCTTTCCCTCCGAAGCAGCAGCAAGAGCAACAAGGAAAAATATACCACGCCAGCAGGGAAATAAATAAACTTGAATGCAGCGGCAGGCAGGGAGGGATCGTAAAGAGCGACGAGGATTGGAGGGGCAAAAGTCAGTTTTGAAAAAAAAATTGCTTTATGGGAGGAAAAAAATCTTTAAACAGTCACGCCCCCTTTTGCAATGACCGGTCCCTTCACTGCGTGTAAATCCGACATCAGCAACCTGGAAAAGCTAAGAGCCTGGCGTGCTAAGCTGTCTCTGTGCATGCGTGTGTGCGACGGGCAGCCGCAGAGATATATACGCGGTATAGCGAGGTACGCACGCACGCACACACACATACACAGACATACATACATGCACAAGCGTGTGTCCGAGGCGGGATCTGGCGCCGGTGTGCTTGAGGGATGAAGGCGAGAAGGTGCAGGCAGCCAGCTCGGAGCACGGCTGCTGCTGCTTGATCATGTGGGATTTTTGCATGCAGTTTACTTGGGAAAGGGGGGGATTTGCCGGCGCAGCCAGTCAGGGCACAGCCTGCTGTTTGCTTACAGATTGCCTTTTTTTTTTTTTTTTTTTTTTTACACCTCGACCTGATTGGCTTGCAACACGAGAAGGAAGGTGTCGTCTCGGGCTTCTCCTCCTCCATGCCAAAAAAATACCCAACCCCACCTTCTGGAAACCTGACTAATTGAATTACTAAGACATCGGAGTGGTTCCTGTGCAGCCTTACTGCTAAAGCTAACCATTTCAACGCCGGATGCTGCGACAGGCTTATGCGCGGGGGCAGCGGACGGACGAGTTTCCGTCCACCACGAGAAAAAAACAGTGTGCCGAGTAATTCCACCGAAGCAGAAAAACTCCTTCCCTGCGTTCCCCCGCACACCGCAGCGCTGCGGGAGCCGGCGGAGGGGAAAGGGCTCCGCCAATGTGCAGACACCGCAGCCCTGACACCACTGGCGGCGAGGGCAGGCGGATGGTGGGCGCTCCACCACCAAACCCCGGCATCCCCGCATCCCCTCGGGCAGGTGAGCGGCTCCCGCGGGCGGGGCGGGGCCGGACGGACGGGGCCTTCCCCGGGCGCTCCCGCCGCTCCCGCTCGCCTGTGTTGCCGGGGTGACAAAAGGCAGCGCGACTCTCGTCCCACCCCATCCCATCCCATGCGGGGCCCCCTCCCTGCGCTCGCTCCCACCCTCCCCGCGTCGGGATCGGCGCCGTTCGGAAGCGCCCCGACTCCCCCCAGCGGCGGAGCCCGGCGGTGCAGGGCGGGCGAGTCCCGCGGGGGGATCGGCGGTGCCGTGGCATAGGGTTGGTTGGTTGGATTCCTGATGGAAAATCCTTTTCTTCAGCGTGGAAAGGCGTTCCGGGTTGATCTTCACCGATCGCGCCACCCAACCTGCCCGAAATTTCTGCTCTTCTTCTCGGAAGCGACTGAAGAGACGGAGTTGAAAACAAACACTCAAAACCCTTGGGGTTTGGAATTTTTTTTTTTTTTTTTTAATATTTGGAGTATGTTTTTGTTTTGTGGGGGTTTTTTGTTTGTTGGTGGGTTTGGGTTTTAGCACAGATTTTCAAAGCTGTACTATTAAAAGCTTATAACTTGTCTTCCCGTGGTTTTCCCTCAGACTTGTTTTCAGTATGTTGACATCTGTAGAATAGTTAGCAGGGTACAAAGTACATCAGCTAAGTACATAGCCCATGTATAACAGGCACCATAAACCAAACTCTTTTCTTCATTTATTTTTGTTAAAAGAATCCCAACAATTCTGATTTATTTTGCCGTCTTTGGACTTAGTTCTTTTAATAGGCATGGGCACATCCAGTGTTTCCTTAGTCTTTTTTCTCCAGCACACACAGACATGTGGAAATCACTGTCATTACAGGAAGCAGAATAAATAACACTCTTTTACCCTGATGAAGAATCTCCTCAGCCTCATTTGTAAGAAGAGTTCATTTCCTCTTCCCCCCTCCCCTACTTTTTTCTCCTTGTGAGAAGTATGACAGGGAAGGAGTGAGGGGTCAGTTTGTACAACTTAAAGTATCGTTTAATAGCAGAGTCAGAGCTTAATTTAGTAAATAAAATGTCCTTGCAGGACTACAATACATGTGTTTTTCTTTGACACACAGAAACCTGTGAAAAGAAGACAAACTATTAATAATTAAAAAAGAAATATCCTCCAAGGAAGACTAACAACAAGAAGATATACTTTACGTAGAAAGTAAGCTGTAGGTGGTTGTATCTTAGTAGTTTATAGACAATACAAAGACATAAATACTGAGGACTCAGGATGTAAATTAATTCCTTGAGCAAAACCAAGTACTGCTTTAGTGAACAGAAAGTGAGATTTTTGTTATGTCATAACCAATCATATGAACCCATCAAATATGCAGTACTCGGGAACATGCCAGCTCCTAGTCCACTCTCCATTTTCATCATTACATGATTAAACAATTATTGATATCATAGTTGTTAACTGCTTTTATGTTCCAATGGCCTCTGGCATTGGCCTTCATTTAGCAGAAAGGTAAAGGCTGTCAGTGAGAGATTCAGCATCGATGAAACTACTCTGAATACGGTGTTTAGAAAAATTAGTATGTGTGCACAGTAAGTGTCTGAAAATGCTTCTGGCAAGCCCTGAGTCTTTAACATACATTGTACAGCATGAGGCACTGACTTCCTATGTATTGGTGTGCTGTGCTGCAGTCACTATGCTGATTGATCACATATCTCAAAATAATTAAACTAAGCACAGCCTGGCTTTTTTTTCTGAGGAAAAAGTGGTGTACCTGTAGATTGTCTTTCTTTGCTGATTTCCCTTAACAAAGCATATGGTATGTGTATAATGGTTCAGTATCTTGAACAGATACACAGGACTTAGGGTGTCAAAATGTAGATAGTGTTATTAAAATATAATTTTAGTAATTTGCTTTGCTATTCAAAGATACTTTAGCACCCATAAAACAGAAAATAGAAAATGTATCTCTACATTATTCCTATAGCTTGTGTGTATGACTTTTATAAACCTGAGCAGCTTGTGTGTATGATTTTTGTCTTTCATAAATTTGATCAGTGCTTCAGAAGTAAAACTAACTAGTAGGGCCCAATCCATCTTTTCCTGACATTACCTCTACTGACTTTAATGAAAATAAGCAAGCAAATATCACGGGCTTTTTCCTTTTGTTAAAACCCAGAGAATTAAGAATTAATTTTCCTATTCTGGAAAAATAAACATATATTGCAAATTAGTGAAAAATATACCTGCATTTTAAAGCTTTTTTTTTTTCTAAATTTTGTGGAAATGTGTATTTTTAAATCATATGGTAACATTTCAGTAGAATTTTATTAAAGGTACCCAGGCAAAAACCAAATATAATCCTATGGTTGGTCTGTGTTTAAATCATCTGTGATGATTTTTTTAAAAGGCTGTACAAAAATGCATCTCTTTTGTTTATCAGTGTTTTCCCTGGAAATGTGTTTTCAGGACCTGAAAGCATCATACTTTCTTATATTTTTATTCACTCTCTGATTTCATAAACATGTTGCAAAAAAATTACTTAGAAGCAACCTCAGCTTCAAGTTTTGCAAACTGATAACTAAAAAGGGTGGCTCATCATTAAAAAATCCTCTCATTTTTAACAGTAATCACTGATACTCTAAGTTTTCAAAAAGTAATTATAGAACAAGATCTTAGACTAATTTCCATAGGAGAGGAGTGGGTACCAAAGGCATAAATACTGTTAGGAAGAATCACTGAATTTTTTGTAGTGAAGTGTGTTCATAACTTGATTGCATATATTCTCAACTAAGGTAAGAGTTTTCTTTCTAGGTGATCTCTCTAACTGAAGCGTATTTTTTCCTCTTAGATAGATTTACCTGTGCGAGAGTGTGTGTATGTACTCCATGTGCAGATTTTTCTTTTTTTGGCCTTGTATTGTTTCCCCGTAGGAGGAGGAAATAATATTATGAGAGAGAACAGAAGGAAATGGCTTCACATGAACCTGTCCCAGTATTTACTTGTGTGTGTGAGTATTTTTGGCTCACTAGCACAGAGAAATTAAATTAAAATTCTTGATATTCTTTTTATTAAACTGTCTGGCAACTCCCTTGCTTCCCTAGCCCTCATTTTCCAGTCTACCAATCAGAGATAACATACATGCTTACTTCGCTGTGATATACTGAGGCTCAATAACTTCATGTTTTTAAATGTTCAAGGGACTAGCTTGGAAAATCTTATATAAAAGAAGAAAATACCATAACACAAATTACAGTAATGAATTCTAGACAACTTTTGGGGGCATATCATCCAGTGATATTTTCAGGCATGTTATTTTGTCCAGAAATCATTCATGTTCCTTTTTGCATTGGAGTTTGCTATTTGTTCTTAAGAATTTGCTATTGTTTTTAATAAAAAATTATCTGCAGTTGTGAACTTTGGTTATCAAGTTTGTCAGCTCAAAATCGACATGCCTGGCTGAACAGTCAAAAGAACTTTTGCTCACAAAGTAGGCAAGACCTCTTCAGCACATAGGTATTTGGGTATTAGTCCAGAAACGTCCAAAGTTTAATACTTTGAGAAAAACTGAGAAGAAAACAAAAGATTTCCTGGCTTCATATAGCTGTTTTATGACTTTTTGTTCCCAAAGCTTATGAGAGAAAGAATTACAAGGTATGAGATTTTCAAAAACATAGGGGTAAGCAGGGTACTTATCTACTCCTAGAGACAATAGAAAAATCCACTTGGAAGTTCATTGTAGTGTCACCTCCACGTAAGTAGGCAATAACTTAGATATAGTGTGTTGCCATTCAATTTCATGTTTGTTTGTCTTTATACATACTTTTGCTCATGTTTGTTAAATATCTAATTATGAGGAATTTGTTTGTTGACACACTTTAAAGAGCTTGAAATTTATGCCTTCATGAAGGCCTGTTTTTAATACAGCCAGTTTGAAAGGCAAAATAAAAGCATTTGTTGCTACTTACTCAAGTTTCTGGCTTTACAAAAAGTAAAGCCCATTGCACTGACTTGTCATTAATATTGATTCAATAAGAATAACTGAAATAGCTCGTCAATAAAGCCAAAGCAAAAGAATCCATGGTGCTAGGATAAATGTATAACTTTCCTTTTTCCTATCCACTTCAATTCCTAAACATATTAATTTAAAGAGCTTTTTAAAGTCTTCTGAAAGGTATTGCTCAATCTTAAATTATTACAGGGCCAGGATCTTACAAAACCTCCAATTTTGGTATTATCAATGTAAAGCTTTTAGATGCAAGAAAGATTTTGTACTGTACTGTAAAAATAATAAAAAAAAAAATACCCAGAGACAGTGGACAGTATTAATATAGCTGTGGCTATATTATATTGCTGTTCACTCTTCTAAAAAGCTCTGTATTGAGCAGATACACTATACAGGTTATACAGATTATGTTACGTGAGCAAGCTCCCATTTCAGCATCTCTACATCTCCTATGATGACATGGCACGCTTGAAACCAG